GGTTCCTCGCTGTTTCCGGACGGCCTTGTGGAGCTAAGATTGAATGCGTTTCAGCATAGATGGCCACCACAAAATTGTACATTGGCTCCCGGCCGGCCTGGGCTAGGGCCAAGGCAGCGGGGGCCGTTCCCTCACTGTTTCCAGGATGGCTTCACGGGCCACATGAAACCACTTTGTGGGCCGCATACAGTCCCCGGGCCTTGTGTTTGACATGTCTGAGCTAAATGAATCTGTAGGCTGAAATCGGGGGTTACCAACCACCCAGAATTTTCCTGAACCAGGTAGAATGCTAGCTGCGCACTCTCATTTCTTTCTAAGATCTCCAAGGCAACCTACACTGTACCACAGCAAACAAATGGGAGCATAAGCAAGTGAAAGGACATTACTTCCCTCCAGAGACGAGACTCGCCTTCCTTCCCTGAAAATGTCAAACGTTGTTTCGAGGCAAATTGCAAAACTGTATTAACCCCCTTGTAGCAAAAACAAACAGATTAATAAAAAGAGAGCAAGACAGAGAGGGAGAAACCCTGATTCCCACAACATGCTTAACCTAGTCACAGCTCTAATTCTGGCCAAAGCTACATTCCTGGCTCAAAAATATCCCTTTAGGAATTGAGAGTCTCCACCCACTTTCTTCAGATAATGACAAGCACAGTGCTGCTGAAGCTCCTTTATACCATTCTTTTTTCCCCCCTTTCTTACATTTTTATACTGCCACAGTCAAAAGCTCTCAGCAGCATGCCACACAACTGACAACAATCCACAGAACATATGGCAATTAGTAAAATCAACCACAGCCAGGGAAAGCATCTGGAACGACATACCAAGGGATCAATCTAATGAGAGCGTCAATCTGTTAATTAAAGGAGCCCTCCAAAAGAGCTTTTTCTTCATCCTCTGGATGAAGGGGTAGGCAACCTTGGCTCTCTTATGACTCGTGGACTTCAACTCCCAGAATTCCCGTAACCAGCCATGCTGAGGGGAAAGGGAGAGATTTCCAAGTTGAGCCGTGCTGGCTCAGGAATTCTGGGAGTTGAAGTCCACGAGTCATAAAAGAACCAAGGTTGCTTACCCCTGCTCTGGATGGAAGGTAATTTTGGGCAAACTTTGCCTCCGCAGAGCAGAGGGGACAGAAAGGTAATGATTTCTCAGAAACAACCAACAACAACTTTTCACATCCACACGATCCAGGATAATTCTAGTCAGGAGGGCAATCCTGCAAATATCTCAACTTCAGGGCCTCCCGCCTGGTTCCTACTGGCCAGGCTAGCCACACCAACTGCTGCAAACAGTGTTTGGTAGCCGAGTTCTGCCTCCAGACATTGTGGAGGTTTTTAAGAAGAGATTGGACTACCATTTGTCTGAAATGGCACAGGGTCTCCTGCTTGAACAGGAGTAAAACTAAATTGGACTAGAAAACCTGCAAAGTCCTTCCCAACTCTGTTTTTCTGCCAAGGCCAATTTGGATGAAATCCAGGAGCAGTCCATTGACCCTACAGAAGAAAAGGAGATACTGAGAAGACTGTTGGCCCTGCTGCTGCTACTACTAAGTAGGAAATTAAAGAATAAAACAGAAGATAAAACTGAAGAATATGGAGGGTCCCTATCAACCCTTGGCTCTGTTCCCCTAAAGCAGGGGTCTTCCAACTTGGCCCTTTTATGACTTGTGGACTTCAACTCCCAGAATTCCTCAGCCAGCGTGCCTGGCTGAGGAATTTTGGGAGCTGAAGTCCACTCCTCTTAAAGTCTATATCAGAGGTCTTCCAACTTGGCCCTTTTATGACTTGTGGACTTCAACTCTCAGAATTCCTCAGCCAGGCACGCTGGCTGAGGAATTCTGGGAGTTGAAGTCCACAAGTCATAAAAGGGCCAAGTTGGAAGACCCCCTGCCCTCAAGTGTGACTTCAAAACCCGGTTGAACTAACTTTGTTAGTTGGTCACTCCCAAGCACATCATACAAGATTTTTTTTAAATTAACTTGGAGCATCCTGGAAGAAGCGTAAACTTGCCATATTTATCAAAAAGCCAATGAGTGCAAAAAAGTGACTATCCCATTTAAGCGACTACCTACAACGGGCTTAACCCACATCACAACCTCAGCGTCGCTAAGGGACGAGAAACCTCTGCATTTTAAAACTTGGTGAATCGACTTGGGAGTTCGGCCCAAATGGAATTCCCATCTCTGACCTGCAGTATTAACGGGGGCGGGGGGGGGGACATTGCAAAGCCGTTACTCACCTCTCTGTCGTTAGAACAGCCTCCAAACGGAAGAGGGAACGGGCAGTTTTTTTTACTCGGTAAATCAATTAACTTATAAAAGCAGCTGTGCCTGTCTACGAGATAGACACACACACACCCTGCACAGGAGTCTCATAAAGACTAGTGCAGGGGTAGGCAACCTTGGCTCTTTTATGACTCGTGGACTTCAACTCCCAGAATTCCTGAGCCAGCTCTGCTGGCTCAGGAATTCTGGGAGTTGAAGTCCACGAGTCATAAAAGAGCCAAGGTTGCCTACCCCTGCATTAGTGCATTTAGCTAATGCTAGTGCGGGCATGAAGGCCCTACACATAGCAAGTGCTTATTATGTCTTAAAGGTGCACATATGCCGGTTTGATATAAAATGTAATTTCTTAACTCCTCTCCCCCCAAAAAAAGGTCCTGCAAACGAGCCCTCTTCCGCATCAACTCAGCTTTAAGAAAGCCTTGCACAATCGCCCCGCCCCTCTCCTGTCGCTCCAGCGCCTCCAACTTGAAGCCCCGCCCCCTTTTCCCCCGCCCCGCGCTTTTATTGGTTACCCAGCAAACGAAGGGCGGCCCGGGAGAGGGCAGGGAAAGGAAAAAAAAAAAAAAAGCCTGGCCGACTAGAGCGGCTTCTAGGTTGCCCTTCCGGAGAGCCGCGGGGGCTGACGGGAATCCCCGGCCACTCCCGGAAGAAGGTGGAGCTCCAGCGGCCCGGTTGCGGTGGGCGGGGCGCGGGGCGGGGCAGGGGAGAGTCAGTTCAGGGCAGCAGGTGAGCGCACAAAATAAATAAACGAATAAAAGGAAAAACGAGCAAAATCAGATTGACATTTTTTTAAAAAAAAAAACGTGTATAAAAAAACACGTGTGAACGTAGGCGTTGGGGTGGGTTGATGTGTACAAGGATGGAGAGCTGCAGCTGGGCACGGGTTGCATACCCGGATGGGTGCAAATGGTCCCAGATGTTTTTCAGGGGAGGGAGGGGGGAGGGAGGAGGGGGCCCTTGGGAAAGAGAGGGGGGTCCTCAGGATGAGGTAGGGGGTGGCTGTGACTTTACAAGGGGTTGCAACTGGTAGCTCCAAGCTCACCTTGGCTGATCCCATCTATACAAAAAACTAAGGATGATTCTGGCCAGTATTTTGATGGGAGTTCTTGGGACTCCAGGCTAGACTGGAAAGTGGGTGGGGAGGAACCCATCCCAGAAGCCATCAAAGTCAAATTTGTTCTACAGGGTAGCGCAGGAAAACAGTACGGGTGTGTGTGGATGTTTTCTTTGGAAATTGAGCTTGACAACTGGCAGTGAAGGGAACTGAATGTTAAGACAGAGTGGGTGGGAGTGGAGGTTTTGCTTTGTTTTATTTTGTTTTATTATTTTATTTTATTTTAATTTTTATGCCTTTGAGGTGGTGTTTACTCCTGGCAACTGCCTGGATAGCTCCCTGCAGTTTTCTTAGCAAGATGTCGGAAGTAGTTTGCCATTGCTCCTTCTTCCTAGGGCTGAGGGAAAGGGACTGGCCCAACCTGCCTCCCGAAGCGGTGAATGCTCCAACACTGGAAGTTTTTAAGAAGAGACTGGACAGCCATTTGTCTGAAATGATATAGGGTTTCCTGCCTGAGCAGGGGGTTGGACTAGATGACCTCCAACTTTATTATTATTATTATTATTATTATTATTATTATTATTATTATTATTATTATTATTATTATTGTTGTTGTTGTTGTTGTTGTTGTTGTTATTGTTATTATTAAAGATCCCCCAGCTGGCTTTGTGCCCAAGGTGGGACTAGAGCTCATGGTCTCTCTGTTTCTAGCCGAACTACTACACCAGACTGACTCTCCTTATATTATTTTGCTAATAAATAAGGGGTTACTTTAACTTGCATTCCAGTTCTATGTCTTTTGTAATGAAGACTTGACAGTTGATCCATGTAGGGGGACTCCATTGCTTGGAATCCAATTCTTCATCAGTCTAATTCTGTTATTAAACATTTCCCCTCATAGGGTCTGAGCTAACAGAAAGGATATCCAAACTTTTCAGCATTGCAGCTAGATTTGTATTCCATTAAGTATAGCATGTTGCATAAATCACCATTGGTTAGCTTTTTACTAAACCAAAATCCAAACCACCATATTCTGGCTTAATACGAGGTGAAAAAAATATTGTGTATATAATTATTTAAGGATCCTTAGAATTACACTGCCCATCCCCTACTAATGATATTTTACTTGGCAATATAGAAAAGGTTCTATAGAATTTTATGCTGAAAAAAAATCAATTGTCCATATAGCAATAATACTAAAACTATGCGTTAAGAGTAATTACTTGAACAGCTTTTGGCTCAAGTACAAAACATCCATATTTCATTTTCGTTTGCGGTAATTATTCTTACAAGAATTTACTGAATGTTTACATAAAATAAGATATAATTTTTGCCACACAAACCTCAAGAATCAGGACTGGGAAAGTTTATCATGTGACTGAGATTAAAAAAATGGACATTTGTTACATAATATATCTGAAATGATCCTTAGTCCCATGTATATGGCTAAAGATTTATAATGGATAGAAGTTGTATTTATTAATACTTCCTAGATGACTATCTGTTGTTGACTATTTCAAAATCATTTATTTAACTGGTATGTGTCTATATTCCTTACTGGTATTTTAATTATTGGACTTTTTTAATGAAAGTAATAATTTATTTTGAACGTTTTTTTTCCCAATCATGCCATAGATGAAGTAAACAGATTCCAGGCAAAACATGGCCATCTACAGCTGTAACATATTCCTTGCAGTAGCTAGGACCAGGTAAGAAATGAAATCTTGGTATCTTTGAAATATGTCATTATTTTTGATCCTTGAATTTCATCCAAAAAGCAGTAGTGATAGCTATTTTCTATCATGAAGGAAGTTCATGAGTTTTTATTCGATTACTAGCTTCAGTCAAAATTACATGGCATTGTATTAAACATTCAGTGGATAGTGTAAAACAGTTGTACTGATTTAAGTTTAATAGAAAAAAAGCAATATCAGGGTTATTGTTTTTGTTCATCACTGGCGCACTGATAGCATTCACCCATGTAGTTTTTCTTTTTGTGAAATATAAAAAAAATGGGATCTGGACTAAATAAGTATAAGAGCTCCTGTATTACCTTGTCTGATTTGAATAATAAAAAATCCGTAATTTCCTCATCCTCAGTCATCTAGAGCTGAGAAATTATAACCTGTATTCAGTTGCAAGCATGGTAAATACTGTAGCTATGACTGGGGCTAAGAAATGCAATCCTTAATCTAGCCCAGGCTGGCTCAGGAATTCTGGGAGTTGAAGTCCACAAGTCATAAAATGTATCTTTCACCAGCCATAACCCAAATCCTTGGTTGCAGCAGTGATTGGGACTCTTTCTCTTCCAGAGGATCACGCCTGCTTGTACACTCCTGCTGTTCCCTGTTCTCCTCATCAGCTGCCCTTGCACAACTGTTGGATTCCCACCATAATGGAACATTCCTGAAGGACTCTGAAAGCCACCAGCTCCTCTCCAGTTCACCGCAGGGAAACGGTTGGCCCCACTTGCTGATTAGACCGATGCGGATGTTTCACACGTCAGCTTATTGGCATCAGGACAAACCTCGCCCTGAGCCAAGTACTGTAAGAACAAACCACACTCCGGCCAGCCCTCCAGGCAAGGCCGCCGAGACCATCAGGAGATCGCTCTGGCAGAGGATTGTAGATGAACTGAGACACTATTACAACGGATTCCACTTGCTCTGGATCGACACCAAAGTCGCCGCTCGGATGGTCTGGAGACTGTTACACGGGCAAGTCCTCACCAGGCGGGAGAGACGAAGGGTGAGCCTTGGCTGGCTTTGGGGTGCAGCCAGCAAACTAGCCACTGCGCGTGACTAGTGGCTTCCTCTCGAAGGGACAGTATTCAGCAGCGGATTCTTATTCGCTGGACAAAGCAAACCTTGATGACTTATGACCGTATTTGCCAGGCTCAGTTATGGTCATAACTCAAGGACTTTTCTTCTAGCAGTGAATTTGGAATCCCTACTTGCTGATAACTCATGTGTCCCCTTTACGTGTGACTTGCTGCGTGGTGTAAGAGAGAGTGTGTCTCCATCATAAGCTCCCAAATGTTTCAAGGTCCAGTTTGGGTCGGTCACTGGGACCAGAGGTTTAGCCCTCCAAGCTTTTGACTGGTGCTGGAGCCACCCACGAGTCCGAAAGCTCGGAAGACGAAGTCTCTGGTCCCAGTGACCGACCCAGATTGGATCCTGCAACATTGTCCTGGGACCCGTAGATTTGCCTTCACCCAAATGTTGGATTGCGGTAATACATTCGAGTAAGGCCTGAATCCTGAACCCACCTTCTCATAAAAAAAAAAAGTTGTTGAATAAAATTGTTTGACTTTATTTCTTAAAACAAGCCAGCAGGCTTTTCTGCAGATGAAATGCTGGCACTCTGAAATTAAATTGGCAAAGTGCTTGCTTGGAACAAAGCTTCTCCTACTCTTTTTTAGTGGAAAGGAGAGAAACTCAGGGATGGTTGTAAGCCGTTATTTCGTTTACTTGGTTTTGGTTTAGTAATGTTAATACGATTTCAGTATGGTGGCTTATTGAAACATATTTACGATTAACCATGCCTTAGGGCAGGGGTAGGCAACCTTGGCTCTTTTATGACTCGTGGACTTCAACTCCCAGAATTCCTGAGCCAGCATGAGGGAAACTTTGTCCCCTTCATGACTTGTGGACTTCAATTCCCAGAATTCCTGAGCCAGCATGAGGGAAACTTTGGCCCCTTCATGACTCGTGGACTTCAACTCCCAGAATTCCTGAGCCAGCATGAGGGAAACTTTGTCCCCTTCGTGACTCGTGGACTTCAACTCCCAGAATTCCTGAGCCAGCATGGCTCAGCTTGGAAACCTCTCCCTTTCCCCTCAGCATGGCTGGCTCAGGAATTCTGGGAGTTGAAGTCCACGAGTCATAAAAGAGCCAAGGTTGCCTACCCCTGCCTTAGGGCAATGGATGAACAGTGTCATGTTTTTGTCTTGTGTTTCTGTTTCTGCAGCTGATGAGAACATCAGCAGATCTTTTCCGACTGGTTCCCTTCTTGGTGTTCATCATAGTACCTTTCATGGAATTCCTGTTACCTGTATTTCTTAAACTCTTTCCTGAGATGTTGCCTTCAACCTTTGAAACGGAATCTAAAAAGGTCAGTTTTTCAAATTTGAAAAAAAAAAGCTCCATCTTCGTGTCCAGCTATATCTTAGGAATAAAATGGGGCAGAACTCAAGCACTGTCTTGCTTTAGCAATGGAAATTTTGGCTCATACAGGGCTACCTGTACTGTTTCAAAGAGGACTAGAAGAGTTTTAAACATCTTTAAAGCATTTGGGGGATGGGGCATTATGAAAATACACACTGCCTTGAAGCTAAACTTCAAGAGTCTCTCTATGGATGGCTCTGAAGTGCAGAATATATATATACTTTTGCATCACGCTCTAATGATGGCGGTAGTGTTGACCGATGAAAGGCTTAGCTTTTATAGTAAACAGTTTTGTTTTTAGTATTATCCTGGTGTTCGGATTATTTTATGGTATGGATTTACCCAGGATTCGCATTTTTAGCATAATTAGAGACTATATATATATATAGTGTATAAAAGCTGGTGTATAAAAGTATTTTCTCCCATTGAGTTATTTGTGCCCTGATGATGTTGGTAGATTCCAACGAAAGCTAGGTCTGTTATAGCATTTTAAAATATTTTTAAAATTTTTAATGTTTTATTAAAACTTTTAATGATTTTAACTTTCCCTGGTGTTCACTTTTATTGTTTTACTATATATATATATATGTGCAGGTCTTGGCGTATTCGGGTCTTTTCCCATGTAAGATTGAGAATATCTTGGCGACGTTTTATATATATATATAAAAATGGAAATACCTGTTGGCTCTTTGTCTCTCCCTTTGTCTTTTTTGATATTTTTTTTCTCGTTCTCTTTAGAATATTCTTTTTTTTTTCCCCTTTCCAAGCAAGTGGTACGGTGAAAAGAAGATAAGAGTTTTACTTTCGCCAAGAATGGCAAGCGACTCATTGCTTTGTGAGAGAATTCCTCACCTTTCTCATTATTCTTTGCACTAAGGAAGAAAAGCAGAGGAAGAAACTGAGTGCCAAGCTGGAGCTAGCCAAATTCTTGCAGGAGACGATTGCGGAGTTAGCCAGAAGGAACAAAGCCAGCACGGGAGCAGCTACCCAGCTTTTTTCCTCCTACGTTCAGAAGGTATGTTTCCCTCAGTTGAATCAGAAAGCTGGAGCCCTGGAGCTTTTTATGCTTCATTTAAAGATTGCTGATAAGCTCTAAAAGTCTCCCGTGAGGTGGAACTGTTTAAACCAGGAGTCTCCAACCTTGGCAACTTTAAGACTTGTGGACTTCCAACTCCCAGAATTCCCCAGCCAGCACCAAGTCCACAGGTCCTTAAAGTTGCCAAGGTTGCACACCCCTGTTTATATAAACAAAACTGAAACATTAAAAATAACCCTCTTAAAAGTTTGACGCAGCCTCAGTCAATGCCTTTGATTTCATGTCTGATCTTGATGCCGATGGAGGTTCTCAATTCACCCAGGTGGGTGGTTAAAGCTATCATTATAAGTTTCTTCTATAATTTCACGCCATTGTGAGGGGCTTGTAATAGTTTTAAGTGAATGCATTTATTAGGAACTCTGAATCTTCCTTTAAGATAGCTCTCCTGTCCAGTTTTCTGAACAAGGATGAAAAATAACAATAAATCCAAATCATGAAAATGCATTTCGTGCTGCCAATAGCTTTACATTTCCTATAACAATAATAAAACCAGGAAAATGCAAAGTATTGGGAAACAACATCAAGAATTTAAAAAGATTAAAGATTGCCAAAGACTGCATCATTAAAATCAGTGGCAGACAAGACTGATTTTACTCGCCATCTTGAGGTAAAATGATAGGAACAGGCTTTTCCCTCTTGGAGGAAACATCTTTAATTTGTGCAGCCTTTTTATAGAGAAAACTAGCAATGAGCTGGGGAGACTTGATTCTGGAGTCCTCATTGATTGTGTTTAGGTTCGACATAGCGGCCAGCAACCCAGCACTCAGGAAATCGTGCAGTTTTCCAAACTGTTTGAGGATGAGCTGACCCTGGAACACCTGGAACGGTCCCAACTGGTCATCCTTTGCAAACTGTTGGAGTTACAGCCCATTGGCACCAACAACCTCCTCCGCTTCCAGCTTTTGATGAAGCTTAGATCCATCAAAGCTGATGATGAGGTAAGGAGATGCATTTGTCTTTCACCAAGAGCTTAGAAAGCTACCTTTAAATTCTGGGCAAGCTGGTCAAGAGAATGATGCTGGCTAAATTTTGCCTGTTATTGGCAAGAATAGCTTATTTAGATCCCTTCTAAAATGGCAGTAGCCTGAATGGGATGGGAGCCTTGATGTTGTTAAATGATCTGCCTGATGCTGGTCTTTGCTCTTTGCTGCCTGCAGATGATAGCCAAGGAAGGTGTTAATGGCTTGAGCGTGTCTGAGCTGCAGAGTGCGTGCAGAGCAAGAGGAATGAGGTCATTGGGCCTCACGGAGGACCAGCTCAAAGAGCAACTGAACCAGGTAAGTTAGGGATGAGGGAGGGAAGGAAATGGAGCCTGAGAAGAATATCCAAAGGGTGCTTCCTGGTCCTGATTGGGTGGAAACCACTAGTCACACGTGACCTCTCCCTCCGAGCATCTGTTTCGGATGCTACAATGGACCAGGCTAACCTTTTAAAAAAAAATTTGCAAAGGGCCCATGGGGTATTTTAACACGGCCTCTACCAACCTGTTGCCTGACTGCAAGGCAATCACTTCCTCTTCCAAACCAACATCTGCAAAAATGGGAAATGTTCACGGATCCTGAAGAGCACCCCATGGGAGAAGGTTGCTATAAGAGACAGGGGGTCTACTTCTGCAGCCAGATCCCTCGTTGGGCTGATTGGTTCAGAACGAGATTCGAAAATGTTCCCGTTGAATTTTACAGACCCAAGCAGTTGTTCCAGCTGTGCTAAGAACGCAAATGGAGCGGAGAGGAAAGAGGCTGCTTAAGTAGGCGTCCTTAGTGGCTCTCAGCAGGTTCTGAAAGCAGGTCCTTAGGATGGAGGACGGAGTACTCTTGCTTGCAGGAAGCTCACTTTCCACTCTGAGCAGTTAAACCTCAAGCTCAAGCTTGGCAACCAGCAGCGTTGGAGTCAGACATGGTCTCCACACAGGCAGCCAGTTCAACCTTTCAGCAAGACCGTGTGGCTTTCTTTGGGGCTTTTGCTCCATCAAGCATACCTTATGATTGTACTTCTTGCAACCTAAAAGTTAAAGGTTTCCCCTGTCCAGGGCAGAGGTGTCAAACTCGCGACGTCACGTGATGTGTCGCGACGTATTGCGACTTTTTTCCCCATTGCCGGCAATGGGGTGGGTGCGGTTTCGGCATGACACATCTGGCCTGCGGGCCGGCAGTTTGACACCCCTGGTCTAGGGGGCATTGCTCGTCCCTGCTTCCTAGGCGAGGGAGCCAGCATTATCCGAAGTCATTTCTCTGTTTGTGTGGCTAGCATGACTAGACACCGAAGGTGCACAGAACGCTGTTACTTTCCCACCAAAGTGGTACCTATTAATCTACTTGCATCTGCTTGCTTTCGAACTGCTAGGACTCAGGGGTAGTCAACCTTGGCTCTTTTATGACTCGTGGACTTCAACTCCCAGAATTCCTGAGCCAGCATGAGGGAACTATGGCCCCCTCATGACTTGTGGACTTCAACTCCCAGAATTCCTGAGCCAGCATGAGGGAACTATGGCCCCCTCATGACTTGTGGACTTCAACTCCCAGAATTCCTGAGCCAGCATGAGGGAAACTTTGGCCCCTTCATGACTCGTGGACTTCAACTCCCAGAATTCCTGAGCCAGCATGGGGGAACTATGGCCCCTTCATGACTCGTGGACTTCAACTCCCAGAATTCCTGAGCCAGCATGGCTCAGCTTGGAAACCTCTCCCTTTCCCCTCAGCGTGGCTGGCTCAGGAATTCTGGGAGTTGAAGTCCACGAGTCATAAAAGAGCCAAGGTTGCCTACCCCTGTGCTAGGTTGACAGGAACTGGGGTAAGAACGGGAGCTCACCCTGTCGGGCTGTCCGCTTTCCAGCTGACAAGCTCAGCACCCGAGAGCCAAACTGGTGCAGAATATAAAGGAAAGTTCTTGCTAAAGAAAAAAAGGAGTTTTGTTTGTTTTTTTTGTTTTCGACCCTCCCATCTGGAAGTTTCAGATTTGCAAAAAGCTTAATTTCCCAGAAAGTTGCTCTGAACGATCTTTCTCCTCGTCTCTGTTGTACAGTGGCTGGATTTGAATCTCAAAGAAAAAGTTCCTCCTTCCTTGCTCCTGCTTTCTCGTGCCTTGTACTTGACCGACGTGAGTCCCAAACCGATGGTGGTGAATACAACTAAGGTGAGCCGTCAAACAAACTTGGTCTGTTTGCTGATGGGAGAGCAAGTTTAGGAAGCAAGGGATAGCAGCTTCTCCTTGCTTGGCCTTGGAGAGGAGCCTCGGTGGCGCAATGGTTAGAATGCAGTATTGCAGGCTGACTCTGCCCACTGCCAGGAGTTCGATCCTGATCAGCTCAAGATTGACTCAGCCTTCCTTCCGAGGTCGGTAAAACGAGGACCCAGATTGTTGGGGACAAGATGCTAACATTGTAAACCGCTTAGAGAGGACTGTTAACAGTGGTGGGATTCAGCCGGTTTGCACCACTTCGGCAGAACCGGTAGCTAATCTTTTGTTGCCCAGGCCCAGAATGGACTTCCGGAATCAGCATCCACACACAGAACCGATTATTTACATATTTGAATCCCACCACTGGCTGTAAAGCACTATGGAGCGGTATATAAGCCTACGTGCTATTGCTAAGTGTTATCGCTTGGCATCTTCCAGATGTGCTTATTGTGGTCAGATGTCCCCGGAGGGTACATTCACTGCACTGCAGTGGGTTTGAGAGGAAAGGAAAAAAAATCTGTTAGAATAACAGATTTCCTTCCTTTACTTTAAACCAGCAGTATATTTCAACCAACTTGACAGTACAACAAATCCCATGAGGCTGTCATGTTACCATGAGCATAGCAGAAGGTAAATCCAGCAATTTAACCCCACCCCCACCCCCTAAAAGACTGTCCTTGCGAAAAAAAAGGATATGGAATCATAGTGTCAGGTTTTGCTTTATTGCAACTTTAACCGAGGTAATTGTAGTAAATTACTAATACCTTTTTTTAACCCTTTACCGAATGGACAAATTAATTGTATCTACCGTAAAGCTTCTGGGATCCTAAAAGAACTCCTGTTCTTGCTAAACTTTTAATTACAGCACGTACAATTTGAGCTTTGTCGGTGAACTAAGTAGACTAAAGAAGACCACAGTGCTTTTTTCACCACAGTGTTATACTGTGCTTTTGTGATGTCTAGGTTTGTCTTAACCCAGGCATTTCATTTGTTCTTCAGCCTCTGAAGAGTGAGGATGCAGAAATAGAGGAGGATGAGGATGAGGAAGAGGAGGAGACCTTGTTGGACTCTGCCCCCATTGTGCAGGAAAGGAAGGTGAGAATTGGGGTGTACGTTTTCAGCTGTGCCTATTTTGGAGTCCTTTGTGTCCTCAGAGCTTGGTTGTTTGCTTGGAGACATTTCATTACCCATCTAGGTAGCATCATCAGTGCTGGGGGATGTGGTGTCTCTTCCCTGTTTATAGTAGCTTACCCTGCCAGTATTGGTGGGGTGTGTGATTTTTTTTTTTTACTAGTTAGTTCAGGGGTCTTCAAACTTGGCCCTTTGATGACTTGTGGACTTCAACTCCCAGAATTCCTCAGCCAGGCACGTTGGTTGAGGAATGCTGGGAGTTGAAGTCCACAAGTCATCAAAGGGCCAGGTTTGAAGATCCCTGAGTTAGTTCCTTGATTGTCAGGGCCTAAGAGCCAAGAAAGACACATGACATTGCTTCTGAGCAGTGTCTTTTCTTCTTCTCCACCCATGGACAGAAATCTTGGCCAAACTAAAACAATTGTTTGCATCACTACAGATATACTCTGGGAACAGTTAGGGAGGAGCCTTCTTAACCCTCTTTCTCCCAACCGTACTTTCCATGCTTCACTGCCTCTTTGTCCTCCTGAATGCAGCCCCTCCCTCCTGGGAATCCAGACTACATTCCACTTTGATTATGGTATTTTTATTTTTGCTTGATCACTTGTCTCTTTGGTAGTTTCCTTGATTAAGATATTGTTTTCTACTTGCTTGTTGGTTTGTCTGGTGTTATTCCCTGCTTCTCTGGGTGTTGCTAGATATAGAGAAAATGTTCTGGTCTTTTGGTTTCCTTTTTAGCTTTTGTCTCTTTTGAAGAGTGTATAGTTTATCTCCGTTTGTCTGCTACGGAAGAACTGTGGTCCATCAAGAATTGGCTCATATCCACAATTTTTCTACCAAATCCAGAGTGTAATAGAAATGCATAGCCAAGCTCTGAGGGCCCTTGGTGTTCTCTTGTTTTTTTTTGCAGCCGTTTCATTACTCATACTAGGTAACATCATCGCTGCTTTTGGTACCACACGATAGCCGTGCTCTTTCTGCTAGCAGAGGAAGGCAGATATCCTCCTTAATCTTAAGAATGTGGGAATTTGGAATACGGAATAGTTCAGCCAGTTGTTTCTGACTCTGGAATAACAATCTATTATAGAGCTTCGTTGACTTCATTTTTTCTTTCCCTCTGTTTGGAAGAGTGAAGAGTTTGTATTGCCTCCAAAGGATAAATTATCAGTTCCTGAAATATCGGTCAAGCCTCCTGTGGGAGAGGTGAGTTTTCCTTTTGGACAATACTTTTGGCCCCACAGTATGCAAAACCTGAATATATGGGGAGAATATGTAATTTTTAATCCGTGGGAAGTAGAGGACAGGATCAACAAACCGAAAAGAATTGGTGTAGATTAGAACACAAAGACATATATGACTAAAATGCACAGCTGGTAGAAACTGTTAAAAACAAAACACAATTATGGAAAGATAAACGTTCCTACCCAAAGTCTGGAGTCAGAATACAGCGTAACGGCTGGATATTAAAAAGAACTATGGCGATATTTTGAACAGAGTAGAAATTGGTCTCCTATTTAAGATGTCACAAGCATTTACGGAGAAGAAGGACCAGTCAGGATGAGGTTCTAAGAACAGTTTGGGTTTTTTTTTTAATGACCATGTTCTGTAGTTTATATAGTCATTAAGCAGAATTCAACATTAACCGTAGACAAACCAGAATAAAACCCTATAGTTTATATCTAGATTATCCATGCAATCAAAGGACGTCTGGTTTTATAAACAGCACAGCAAAATTTGGCCACATTCGCAGAAACTGAATCGTACCCCTTTAATAATTAACATCTGGACTAGGATAGCCTGGATACTTCGTTAAAGAAGGTGTGATAAGACAGAGCCTTGCATTCTTTTTTTTTTTTAAATGCAATGTAACAGAATATAGACTATTGTTTCAATAGATCCGTCTCCAGAGGGCCACAATCTTAGCTTTATGAACCCTCAAGAATTGCTATAGGGAGGACATCAAAGTGTGATAAGCTTAGTGCTCTACAGATTCCATGGACAGTTTTTTTATAATGTGAATATATCTTACTGATCCAAAGAAAGGGGCTGGTCTGAGATTGTACTCAATCTCCAAAACCATTGAGAGCCAGCTGACGTAGTATACTGTTTTTTAAACATGGCAACTTTTAAATGGTACAGCTTTCCACTCCCAGAATGCTCCAGGCATCTTGTTGAGAGTTGAACTCCACACAGCCTAAAGTCCCTGGACAATAGTGGTGTAGTAGTGCAGGGGTCTTCAAACTTGGCCCTTTTATGACTTGTGGACTTCCACTCCCAGAATTCCTCAGCCAGGCACGCGTGCCTGGCTGAGGAATTCTGAAAACTGAAGTCCACCAGTCATAAAAGGGCCAAGTTTGAAGACCCCTGGTCTGGATCCAAGCCCACAGTTTCATCAAAATGGCCGACTGAGGAATTCTGGGAGTTGAAGTCCACAAGTCATAAAAGGGCCAGGTTTGAAGACTCCTGGTCTGGATCCAAGCCCGCAGTTTCATCAAAATGGCCGGCTGAGGAATTCTGGGAGTTGAAGTCCACAAGTCATAAAAGGGCCAAGTTTGAAGACCCCTGGTCTGGATCCAAGCCTGCAGTTTCATCAAAATGGCCGATTGAGGAATTCTGGGAGTTGAAGTCCACAAGTCATAAAAGGGCCAAGTTTGAAGACCCCTGGTCTGGATCCAAGCCTGCAGTTTCATCAAAATGGCCGACTGAGGAATTCTGGGAGTTGAAGTCCACAAGTCATAAAAGGGCCAAGTTTGAAGACCCCTGGTGTAATGGTTAAGATGCTGGCCTCGAAACCAGGACACTGAGTTCTAGTTCTACTTCCCTTTGACAGGAAAGCCAGGTGAGTGACTTTGGGCCAGTCCCTCACTCTCTCAGCCCAACCCACCTCATAGGGTCGTTGTGAGAAAAATAGGAAGAGGCAGGAGTATTAGATACGTTTACCTCCTTGAAGTGACACACAGACGTGTGGGGAAAAAAAAGATAAAATAAAAACGCACCAATTGTCTCCTTTTACCTTCGTTACTCATACTTGCCCGTTATTCTTTTCTTTTAAAAGACGAAAATAGAAGCACCCCGGAGCAGCAAAGCCAGCGCCAATGGTGTCTAGTCCCTTTCCCAGAAAAGAGCTGGACCCTCAGGGAAACACACACACACACACACACACACACACACACCTGAAAGCACTACCCTTGCAACTTGCAACACATCGGCAGCTTTCATCCACCAGCTCCTTTGCTCTGTGAAATCCAGGTTCTCCAGACTCGATGGCCGTATATCTAAGGCAGGTGAAAAATCACTTTACATCCAGGGTGAAGATTTTTACATTCGTGAGACATCCGTGTAACTTATTTTTCTTGTAAATATGTACATAATCCGCAGACCAGACCAGCGGTAACTTAATGCAAAACCGTCCCCGCGAAGGTGTGTAATTCCTTTAAAACTTTGTGCGATTTATTTTAATTTTGTAAAAAAAAAAAGGACCTCCTTCCCACCCAGAGCCTTTTTTTTTCTACAAGAAATTGTAGAAAGTTGGGTTCCCCTCCCCTCGGCAGACAAGACTTGAATTGACTTACGGCCAGTCCTTAAAAAGACTTACTTTTTTTAAAAAAAAGTAGGTCCCGGAGGAGACCTTTGTAAATGGTCTTGCATAAAAATGCAGCCGCTCTTCTCAAAGTCAAACGAGATGAAAAGAAGATGGACAGCAGTTTCCTCTTAGTATGCACATAAAATGGAAACCATCCGTGGTCCAGCTGGCTTCCTCCGGTCACGTGTATACATGTATACATGCTGCATTTCCCTCATTTTTACCAATTGGTGAAAAGACACACACTCCACTGTGTTTTTCTGTTGATTCAAAAGGAGCATAGGTTACACTAAAACACAGAATTGGACCATAACTCTATTTAAATAGAGCAAGTATGAATTGAAGTATGGATTAAGTTATATATATAAAACTCGCTCAGGCAGATGCTATCAATAATTTGATTATTTGTAATTTTATTGTCTTTGTTAATTAAATTGTGGATGTTAAATTCACCTGTAACCAGTGTCTGTCTGAATTGGGGTTCTAAAAAGCAGTTTATGGAAGATCTTTCTGTTGGGCCCTACTAAGAAAACTTAGTTTAAGATACTATGACAAAAAAAATACGATAATTTTACCATGCTTTGCTAATGCTCTGCATAATGTCAGCAGTGAGGCAGCTTCTAGTTAAGAAATAAGTAACTTGAGGATTGCATTCGTAACACAAGACAAGCTGTCAGCTATCCCAACTGAGAATCAGTTTAAGTCCATACGGTTGTCCCTGAAATAAACATTTCTAATAGATGTACAGGTGGTCCTCAATTTATAGTAGTTCATTTACCAAAGTTACTACAGCATTGAAAAAAGTGACTTAAGGCAGTTTTTCACACTTACAATCACTGCAGCATCTCCATGGTCACGTGATCAAAATCCAGATGTTTGTCAACTGACTCGTACTTATGACAGTTGCAGAGTCTCTGGGTCATGTGATCCCCTTTTGTGACCTTCAGACAAACAAAATCAACGGGGGAAGCCAGATTCACTTCACAACTGGGTTACTAACTTAACAACTACAGTGATTTACTTAACAACTGTGGCAAGGGAGGGTGTAAAATGGGACAGAATTACTTTAACAGCTGTCTCGCTTAGCAATAGAAATTGTGGCCTCCATTTGTGATGGTAAATAGAGGACTACCTGTATAAACATCTTTGGGGAAAATCAAAGCTTTTCTTGCTAATTTGTGCCCTTTTCCCAGTCTCGAAAAGCTTTGCTTGTTTGCGCTTGCGGTACCAGAATTTCTAAAGACATTGTGTAACCTTTAGTGCAGATCGGTTTCAACAGCGAGGAGTCTGAAATGTGAGTTATATACTCGTCGGAAGTGTGTGCCCACACATACAGAAACATTACTGAAATGAATGCTGGGATAAAGGGCCACCAAAGATAGCTGTGGGGAATGAAGCTCAAGGCTTGCATGCAGCTAAAGCTCATCTCTTCTGTTAACTTGTGCCTTATTTAAATTGTATAAAAATCCCAGTGGTTGGGTCTCTACAAACTGAGCCAACACAAACAAATGTCGTTTCGTGCAAAATAGGAGCCCAGCGTCAGCTAATGGGAGAAAAAGATCTGCAAACGAGGGAGATCTATAGGGTAAAGAAATAAATGTTTGAAAAACGCAGATTCAATATTAAAAAGCCCAGAGATTTAAAAAAAAACAGGAACGGGAGCAATGGGAACGGAACGATGTACTATTTCTTTGAAAGTCCCTGGTTTGTTTATTTATATTTCGTATTTCTTAATTGCTCTTCTCCCTTGGAGAGGGACTCCGGGCAGTGTGCAAAATAATAATGGCCGCTTATTTAAAGTTGCAGAATTGCTAAACCAGACTCATCCTCCTCGTTTATCTCAAAACTAAGCGTTGTAGCCCCCCCCCCATTGTGTTCGTGGCAGCGGAACCCGTGGCCTTCTCTCCAGGGTGCACCAAGCAAGTCCCAGCTATTGATGGAGCTGTCAGATGCCATACTTAGCTTGACAGACAAGGCCAGTTCTCCCCAGCTCTCCAGCGATCAGTAGCTGACATAACTATTATTGTGGGACAAGTGTTTTCCAGCACTACGTGGTACGTGCCTATGTGTGTGCGCACGTCTCACTTAAGCCCAGCCTGTGCAGCTTTCATCACTGTTAATTCTTTTGGAAATTTCTTGTCAAAACCTACTTCACCAGGCTTTCCGATTACAAGACACAGAATTCTTGTAATTCTTTTTTTTTTTTTTACATCTATTCAGAATAAGAGTCTGCTGCTTGTTTTACTGTACAGATGTTCCTAACGTGGAATGCTTTAACGCAGTGGTTCTCAACCTTTTTAATGCCGCGACCTCCAACCGGTCGTAAGTCAAGGACTAAACCGGTCATAAGTCGAGGACTACCCAACCGGTCATAAGTCAAGGACTTTCCCTGCCCGGGAGCGCGCACATGCACCGGCCGAGGTGTAGCTGGCAAGCGGCAGAGACGGAGCAGGCCGACCACCAGCTGGCCCAGCCCAAGGGAGGTAAGGCACCCGCCGGAAAAGGGGAAAAAATGGCGGACAGCCTTGCTTGGCGACCCCCGTGAAATGGTCGATCGACCCCAAATGGGGTCGCGACCCATAGGTTGAGAACCGCTGCTTTAACGCTTCTTAACCACTGCATTGAGGAAGACTTGCTGGAAAGTGGGGCTAAATGTCTAGAAAAAAAACCTGATCGGTGCTTTGGTACTGATCTGGAGAACCCACACTGTGAAGTGTACATTTTAACAACAACAACAGCAACGACAACAAACCTCCCCAAAGGGGAGGAGCAAACTTTCCATTCCCTATGGTTCAAAGGTTGTCCATCAGAAACCTTTGCTGATTCACTGATCCTTCAGTGGGGTTCAACGTAGCTTCTACCTGCCCTACTGAGATGCAGCCATTAAAGAAGATGGCTTCATTGATACTCACCGGTGGTAAGGTAAAGGTCAGTCATCTCTGGCTCATCTCCATTTCTTCGTCGAGGGAGCCAGTGTCGCTGGCTTCCGTGGTCATGTGGCCAGCATGACTACATGCCAAGACACACGGAACGCTGTTGTCTTCCCATCAAAATGGCACCTGTTTTATCTGCTTGCATGCTTTCAAACTGCTAGGCTGGCAAGAGCTGGAACAAGAACAGCAGCTCACCCCGCTGAGCGGCACTTGAGTCTTGAACTGCCAATCCTCTGGTTGACAAGCCGAGTGTCTTAACCGCTAGGCCACTGTGATATACTGCAACTTTTGCCTGTGAAGAAAAGTATCCTCTGGAGATCTTAAAAGATAGGTAGACTCATATAGGGAAGGAAGACTTCAGAAGATTAGAAACTTGCCTTCTTCAGTCTAGTCTATTCCAGATGTGTTGGACGGCACTACATGTCATCCCACTGAGCTCAAGTCATCAGCCTTCTTGGCTGGGGATGGATGTCACATTCCAATGATAGGAAAGGCAGCAGCTTTGAAAAAGGAGATTAAAACATTTTGTGTATGTGTATAAAGACAAACAACAGTCAGGAAAACAGAACATACACACAAGTGAATTTGAAAAGCAACTTAATTAAATGAACTCTCTGCATTCATGGCTCTGCCTTGTTTATTGATTTATAGCAGAATCTAATCACTGCAGAAAATTCAGAAGGCTGAATTTGTACTGTTCCCACAAATTCCACCAGGGAGCAGCAGAAGCCCAGCAGCCAATCCTAAGAAAAATGGAAAAAGGTGATATTTTTACTTTATGTAAGTTAAGATTTGCAACGTGTCACTGGTGGAAGTCAGGGGAGGCACATTCAGTCCAAAACAAGACGAGATTATGAAAATACTTTGTACCTCATAGGCTCAGCTTGTGGATGATGCACGTCACACATGTGCATTTACACAACTTTCATGCACTTGTACATTATTCAGATTGACCTTTTTGAAAATGTTCTGCTTTCCCCCATTCAAACAATTTCATCTGGACACTTATTGGAAACATCTGGCTTAATTTACTTGGCTCTTAAGAGTTCAGCTGGGCCACATTTCTGCCCAAAGCAGCTGCAGTGCAAATGTAAAATATGCTTCTTTTGAAATCCAATTGCAAAATGTTACTGATGCAACTGGACATCAAAATGGCTGCTTTTGCACAATGCTGAACCAGAAATAAACCGAACACATTTTTAACTTAGCTGTCAGGCCAATCCAGTCTGCGTGAACAATTTATGATGCCTCTCCCAACCCCAGACAGTTAGGTAAATTATAGTTCTTAACCATAGGCAAGCTGTCTTGCGAACACAGCTAATATGTAAAATAATTTTTAAGTTTACCTTTATTTCATCAGTATCTTTTAAGTTCTGTGCTTATATGCACCTGCAAAAGATTTAAAGCTCAGTTGAATAGAGGGATAGAATCAAGATCATGTGAAGTGTTAATACCACTTTACAATGCCTTGGTAAGGCCACACTTGGAATACTGCATCCAGTTTTGGTCACCACGATGTAAAAAAGATGTTGAGACTCTAGAAAGAGTACAGAGAAGAGCAACAAAGATGATCAGGGGACTGGAGGATAAAA